ACGGTATCGTACATCAGGCTCTTAGGTCCAAGGTTCGAACCCTGTCAGCACTAGGCAACGTTGCTGGTAAACAGTTTTACTGTCGCCGAACTCGATACTCTGGTTGTCTTTGGGGTTCTTATGTGCTGAGCTAGTTCGCTGCTCAGTATTTACTGTGTAGGGTCCTATAGACCGTAGATTCCCACGGCAATAGGATTCACCCTTGTGTGGAAAAGCACGGCATACATTTTTCAGGTACTGTTAAGAGTACATTTGGAATTTCTTGTAATCACTTGTTCAATAGTTCCCCTCTCTAGGGACGGTCATTTCACATTCTGCAGGCACGTGTCGATCAAGTTTCAGTTAAGAAATATTTACGAATTTTGGAGTGTGTGAAAAAGAAATCGTAAAGTGTTCAGCACAAATATGGGATGAACGTTCCATTCAGTAGATTACTAAACTACAGAGCTTTTTCGCCAGGCTCAGAAGATCTAAGTGTCGTTTCGACTGAAAGAGAAACCAGTGCTATTCTACACCAATTTCCTTTAACTGGGTTCAATCGAAAGCAACCCCCTTCATCTACCCCCCCCCCCTTGGTTTCATCCACCCACCCGGACGGCTGATTTTTGACACACTTAGATTCATCAAAATCCCATTCAAGTTATTCGGTACAACATGAACGTCAATTGTCGAGTACCGGCTCGCTCTCGCCTCGTGCACTCATACGCGTTTCTCTGTCCACGTCTGACTGGCATATGGATGCATAGCATTCCCCACCCACCTGGAGGGCTTCAAAAGTTAATGATTTCATTCGGTGTATCTCAGTGGCGAAGTCTGCTCGTATCCCGGTTTGAGTTTGGCTAATTGTACAGGAATTATGGTTGTACGGTAGGATAGATTGGGGGAGAATTGATTACTTGGAAACGTTCAAGTTTCTAGTGAACGAATTATGACAATCTGAACTGTTCCCGTGAAAGAATCAAGTGTAACAGATGCTACCGCAAAATATTAAAGATTTCGCATCTCCATTTTTCGCTCTGTCCAATATCCGGCGCTTCTCCCTGACTGGCAAAGTGAGGGACAGATAGTTGAATTATGGAACTCATGTAGAAAACCAATAGAGATCAAAAACGCGGATGTTGTCAGACAGGTGTCCATACTGTTGTGCTTCTCTCCACGCTCCCGTTCGACCGAACTATAATTGTGTATCGCTGAAAATTACCGAGTAAATTTAATGCATGTGAACCGACAAATTCATTTTAAGTTTTTCTCAAAGGAATACTGAAAACCAGATAGTCTTTCACAATGACGTCAAACGGGAGAAAACAATCTCGCTCCCAATGTGAAACATAAGCGAAATAACAGCAACCACGCACCGGGTAGGAATTGACCGGTCCATTATTCCGGGTACTCGAAAACTCCGGCATTGCATAAGGTGCAATCAAAAAGCCCTAATGTCTGTGGTATGCACTGCAATTTCACGCAAAGATTTACATTTTATGTGAAGTGCTTAGGAATCATATGTGCTTTGTTCATGAAAGTGATGAGGAGCTAACGTGTAGCATACTTGAATTTTATGACCAACTTTGATAATCAGTCAGTTACACGGTCAGCTTTGTGAGTGCATGATCCGACTGTAACACGTGTCAACTACAAGTTAGCCTATGAGATACATTGCAGACACCATAAATCGTGTTTCCGACATTATCGTGATTCAAACGAAGAAATAGAAATGCGTTGAGACCAGGGCCTCTCTTTCTATATATATA